GAGAAGTGACCAGAGAATTAACAAGTGACTTAGTGGCCTCTACAGTTACACATTTACGTATTTTATCTATATTTCTAATATTAAAATAGCACAATTTACAAATATTATTTACTTGAGCTCCCATAAGCATAAAACTATCAAAGATAGCGCCAATATTACGAGCAGAATAAGATGAAAATATATCACAATTACCAATTACAACAGGGGGGTTATCTTGTGCAGATTTACTTAATTGATGCCTTGAGCCTAATAACAAATATTCGGTTTTATCATCATTCAATTTTAGAAAGTTCTTTGACATCCATTTTCTAAATTGAAAGAAGATGGACAATTAGGTGTAAATGAAATATATAATTGAGTATCATCGGCATACAAATGAAAGCTGAGACCATATTTTCTGACAATATCTCCTAATGGTGACGTATAGAGGGTAAATAAAATCGGACCAAGAACAGAACCTTGGGGAACCCCAGATGACAAAACAGATTCAGACGACGATTTGCAATTAACTAAAATACACTGTTTTCTACCCACAAGATAGCTCTCTAAAAGATTTAATGTAGAGCCACAAATACCGAATTTAAATTGAAGTCTACGTAGAAGAATGGAAGCCTCCACCGTGTCGAAAGCAGCAGATAAATCTATTAAAATTAAAAATGTACATTTTCTATTATCAATTTCCATTAAAATATCATTTGAAACCCGGGTTAAAGCTGTTTCGGTACTGTGAAATTGTTTATAAGCACTTTGAAATGGTTCATACAAACAGTTATCATCTAGATGGGCCTTTATCTGAGAAGCAATTCATTTCACCAATATTTTAGAAATAAAACTTAAGTATATGTACTTGTTGGTTCTAGATTAATGAGATTCTTAAGATAGGGAGGAGTAAGGTTATTTATAATTTTGTATAGTAATTTTAGTTTGTGTCGATTTCGTCGTTCTTTGAGTGGAATAAACCCAGTTTCCGTGTAGAGGGAGGCGTGGCTAATACCCTTAACGCAAATAGTGCGTAGTGCATCAAACTGAAGGGATTCGAGTCTTAGCATCTGTGCAACGTTCTGATAGACCTCGCAGTACGTCTTCAAGAGAAGAACCCACATTTTCATGCCACGTGTAGTTACCCCCCCCCCCCCCACCGCTATGCTACAAAGCTTTTCTTGATCGGCTCAAATCAAGCAAGGATCACCCTAGATCAGACTCCATTCGGTAACGGTTCTTCATATGTAGACGGGATTGTAGCGTCTCACTTTGACAATCATCATCGTCCAACAAGGCCAATCTTTATGGACGACAGAGGTAGAATACACCGTGCGTGGGCTGTTGTCTATTTTAGGCACCAGGAAGCCACTGCTACACTATCTGGGCCAGTCAAAAGCCCTGAACAGAATCTAATTGAGCATATCTGGGACATTCTTGGGCGTAAAGTCCATCAGAGGAATCCACCAGTGCTGAATCTTGACGGCTTGGATCAGGCGTATCGCCACCCGAGGAAAATTTATGAGATCAAGTTTTGTGAGAGCAGTTTTGTGTGTAGATTTCGAATCCGAGTGGACGTTTGAGAGTGCTTTGTCGAGATTGGGGGAGTGGGGGGGGAGTGAGGGGGCGCCGATGCCTAAAATTTGATGGAAATTTGTTACCGTTGAAATAAAAGTGATAATCATCTAATTTGTAGCACTGTACACCTCTAAACAAACTCACCTGGCATTAATTACTAAACAGATGAACACAACTGCTTATGTAGGGAGCAGAAATTGTTAAAATGTGGATATCAATACACTTGTACATTAAATTAGCAAAACATTGTTTCTAGCATACCCCTTGGACAACTGGAATATATATAATACCCCTTGGACAACTGGAATATATATATCATAAGTTAACCGATAACCTGTCAGGTTTATTGATGCCAGGAGAAAACTGGGTACCGACTTTTACAACCGGTCATAGAAACTGATTGTATAGAATTTAAAGGGCGCTTAAAAGACATTATTCACAGTGTCTTTTCATCTAAATCGGGAAATGTTAGATATCAATATTTAGTTGTTAATTACAATTCCGTGTATTTTGTTAAGAACCATAGTGATTCCAAAAATAAATACACTGCCAACAAGATAATTCAGATGTTGGACTTTTTAATTGATAATATATTTGTTGAATTAGGTGGGGAAATACATCAGCAAGTGGTAGGTATCCCTATGGGCACCAACTGGTAACCATTTTTTGCTGATTTGTTTCTGTATTCTTACGAAGGCAATTATTACAGGCACTCGTTAAAACAAATAAACGATTAGTCAGACATTTTAATTCCACTTATCGATATATCGATGATGTTCTATCACTGAATAATCATAAATTTAGTGATTATATAGAATTCATAATATATCCTGATGAGCTCGAAATTAAAAATACTACTCACGTGACAATTACGCTTCCTACTTGGATCTGCGTCTCGATTTTGACAATTTCCATAAACTGAGTGTTAAATTGTACGATTAACGTGATGACTTTGACTTTTCGATTGTTAACTTTCCATTTATTAGTAGTAACATTCCAATATCAACAGCTTATGGAGTGTTTGTTTCTCAACTAATTCGTTACGCGAGAGCTTGTTCCTTTTATTCTGATTTTTTAAGTAGGTCGAGGCATTTGTCATTTAAGGGATACTTGCCCAGTAAACTCACAAAAACCTATAAAAAGCTTTTTATGGCCGTCATATTAACTTGATTACTAAATATAACATGTCCCTTTCGGCTATTATTCCAGATATATTTAATTGATGCGTAAACTATCTTCCTGATTATGCCTACTACATCCGTGAATACTATTCATCATGAGCATTTTGCATATAAAAAGTCCATTTGTTAATTACGCTATTTTACCGAAATTTCGTGTAATGCTTTGGATACAGGGCCGTGACAAGCTCGGTGCAACGAGGGGGCGGGAAGTGTTCTCAGGGATGCTGTAAAATTGACAGACAATGTATATCTGTGGTCGACAATTTTTTTCCTTGTTTGTCGTGTATTTTGTACATGGTGAACAGTTCATTTGCTGATTACACTATTTTGTCTTATTACACTATTTTGAGACTTCGAATTGTGTCGAATGGTTTGGATTGTTCGTACTTGGTTTTATTTTATTATTATCAAGGAAAATTCGTAACGTCTGTTGAATTCCAATGATCCTGCAAATTGTTGGCATAAAACTAAATAGCATGGATTACTCCTTGTGAAACTAAGAGTTTATTTTTGAAAACTTGTGGTTGGCATCAATAATTGATTAAATAATTTTCAGATACAAGTTGATAGCATTCTAATTATCACGCATCGATGACTGCCATTGGGATTGACATATTAACATAACCATCTTGATGTATACACCATTTGTTATCGAAATACATCATACAAAAGGAACTTCCACAACCTTTAAGTTCAATATTTAGAATTTCCATAAAATGTAGAGATTCAGTAAACTTGATCTACTACATGTTTCTAATATTTTCAATTTTCTCGTAAATTTTTAATGAAACAGACAGCCACCATTCTATAGAAAATAAGAATTTTACTTCGTTAAGCAATGTCACATTATGTACTGTGCATCTGGAAAAATGGTCTTAACAATTATCAGAGCAAACGCCAAGTGTTAAAGATAATATGGATTGCCAGGCAACGAAACACACGCACTCAGCAGCTATATCGTCCGAGCAGTTCACAAGCGTTTCTCATGTTTAATATTTTGTGGGTGAATTTACAATTTATAATATCCACGGATAACTTTTGTCGTTTGGGCGTTCACTTAAGGTACTACAAAGTGAAACACGAGATATTAACGGAAACTCTTGAAATTAAATATGCTTCTTCATCTCACTAATGTAAACAACATACATTCATTTCAAAAGAATCGGGTGATAAATGTAGTTTGTAGAGTGTTCACAAGAAATTGTGGAGGACGGTGCAATTTACAGACCGACGGGAGCGACAATATACGACCACATTTCAATGGTCATCGTTCAACATTTAACCATATCTCCCGCCATATTTAAGTATCGGACAACCTCCTTAAAGCCCTCCCAGGAGAATTTAACAGGTGGATCTGTTTTCACGAATCTGGCCAACTTAAACGTAGAAGTGTAGGATTTCATATTGACATGTACCAGTCATAGTTGTTGATTTGATAGTTTTTTCTCTGTATATAGTTTAAAAACCTATTTATTTTTAATCCTAAACTATTAAACTCAACCGTCTAAGCGTTTTCCATAATTTTACCTGGATTATCGCCTTTATAATTACCTGGATTATCGCCTTTATAATTGTTTGCGTTTTTGACGTTCTAACTTATGACGTCAATTGGCAGACGATCGCCGTTATGTAACGTCATAATTTAGCAGACTGGTGGTATATTTTCGTTGACTTCCATGTTTTCAGTACTAAGTTTCCCCTGTTTTATAAAAATAAGGATCTACGCCCTTGTTTGTTTGTTTCATATAAACGTTTATTGTTTGTGGTGTATTTTGTGTATCTTGTTCAGTTTAAATAGATGAAGGTAATACAGCATATGGATATGATACTTTCTATTTCTCGCCAACAATGATGGGTGTTTCGTTTTCATTTCTTCATAACGCGTCACTGTAATAAAACATACGATTTAATCCAAGGAATGAAGTAACTATACATGTTTTTTTTTGTGAAAAAGATGAATGTGTTGGTTTCTAAGCGAAGTGGCGCCATCTGTTATCACATATCCGGTACAACTGAGTCCGATTCTCAACCAAATTTATTACAAAAACTTTTGAAATTTTACAAAATGCATTAACATGGCAGATTCCGATGTCACCAAGCTTAACATGACTCGCTGTCCGCTTGCATTATAGTTAAGAATCTTGGATATCTCTTTTTATCCAATGTCGTCGTCTTCTGGAATTTAATGCGTTGTGGATGCTAAAAAAGCGCGGAATAAATACAATATACATCCCCCCCACCAAAAAAAAACAACACCTAATGTCATTTTATTTATTTTATTGCCATTGTTATATACAAATAAATATGTTTATAAAACTAAATATCTAACCGTTTCTATAAATAAAGCTTTGTGTTTAAAGATGCCTTCCCACCTACAAAAAAACCCATTCAAATTAATTTATTTATTCAAAGTAAATTTCAAATCCCTCTCGAAACATTTTAATTGCAAGAAAACTACCGCATTTCGTAACAATCTATGTTAAGCAGCCATGTCGCATTTCGTAACAATCTGTGTTAAGCAGCCATGTTTGCCACGGGACTTGATTGTGGGAGAAATGAATTTTAGCTATTATTTGTTGTTACTCGCTGTCCATTTACTAAAGCCTATATTAATTCTTGCATTGTACTGTACCACCTTCTTTTACCGGCGATTAATGACAGTCTACTGTAGGTTTAGCCCCACCGAGCTGTTCTTACTGCCGCTAGCCATTAGATCAACACATACGACCCGTTTCTTACCAGTTATTGATACCCTTACATTTTTGTCGTTAGGGGGCGCCATGACTGTTTTTTCATGGAATCCAGTATTTATCTAGTACGATTGAGTGTCAAACAAATATGCCAAACTTTTATTGGAAATAACTACCTTATACATGTTAATACTTTCCAGGGAATGCGCTTTAAATATATTTATGAACCATTACAAAACTGTTGATATATTTATGAACCATTACAAAACTGTTGATTTTTCTGCACATTTTTTAATGGATGTAAAACTCTTTTAAGCACGAACTCTCAAAGAGCTTTGTGGTCAAAACTCAAATTCTTTTCTAACGAGTAAGAACGATATGAAGTAAAAAATGATGTTAATAAATCAGCTTAAATTGTGCTTCGTTGAATATAGGACTAATCATATTCGGTATTTTAACAATAATTTACCAAATGTAGTCACAATATACCAGTCTTTATCACTACACACAAATACATCTCTTTTCTTGTTAATTATAAGATGAACGTGTCATCCGTATTTGGTTACAGCTTAATTAAATGAATTATATATCCAGAAGACTGAGTGGAATTGGACAATATTATATGATATATACAGTTTCAGTCTATTCAAATAGTTGTAAGTAAAACACATAAACGTACAACCACCTCATCTAGTACTGACAGTTAAATTAGTATTCATTAAAATTCATTGGTTATTTGGTAATAAAAAAATAGCACTGTTTGCATTCTTGCATTATATTCATAAAGGTCTTATGACGTCATTTACACATATAAATCTCTTCCTCTTCCAAACATTGTTTACATTTGACGTAACAACACCATATAACCTGACAATGACACGCCTTCTTTACCATGGTGTGTTGTACATTATAACCACGCCCACAGCACATTGTCTCACAGTTCTTATCCTTGTCACAAACTCGCCCACCAGTTCCTTCTGTATATCGACTTTTACGACAGAAACTGGGCGATTCGTCCATATATAACAATTCACCGCGGCGAGGTGATTTTCCCTCCGTATTGTCCGCATCGGCATTTGGATTCGTATCCACATTTTTCACCAAAAGGCTTTTGCCGGTGGCTTGATTTGTATGACTGAGCACTTTAAGCGAATTGTCATATTTATTTTTCAAAATTTCGCCGATTTTGTTAAAGGGAGATAACTGTAACCAACATGTTTTTACTGTGCAGGAACCGGAAACACCATGGCATTTACACGTGGTATTCACATTTTCTTTCACAACCTGAAACGAAATAGAAGAACAATTTTAAAGATAACTTAATTAACAGTAAGGACATTAGTTCTCTTTAACGACAATTCTAACAGCATGTTAAAGGAGCTAAATCGCTAATATTTGGGACCTATAGAAATTGACAAAAGTGGGTCGCAACGCATATAATACTGTAATATGAATGTATATAAACTGATTTACATTCAATGGTTTCCGTTTTTACTCCAATTTCAAAATCAGTTATGTTCGGCGAAATAAGCCAGCAGTCTCAAGCGAGTGCAAATTTCTAGCGTCTGGTTATTCCAGTCTACATACGCCGTTTGATTTGGTGCAATGTGTCTAGCCTCGTCCCTCGAGTCTCTTGATACAACTGGGGCTGAAGCGCATTATGGTACACGATTCGTGTACCAATGGTAAAATGTTTATTTTGTCTTAAATATTGGATACCAAAAGCCCATCTTTTTCCGGTAAGATCACAACATGAATGTTGATTTAATTTGACAAATAAATCGTGTTTTCAATGTTGAAGATTTTGGATGATATTGAGTTAGAGACTTAGCTACTTTAAGTATACGGGTGAAAGTCTTTTGGTGAAAAATAAATTATGTATATTCGAACCCAAATGCCGATGTGGAAAATGCGGGTGAAATTACTTAACCATCGTGCATTATCCGCCGAACCCTTAACCATCGTGCATTATCCGCCGAATCCTTAACCATCGCGCATTATCCGCCGAATCCTTAACCATCGCGCATTATCCCCCGAACCCTTAACAACCCTCGAACCCTTAACCATCGTGCATTATCCCCCGAGCCCTTAACCTTAACCATCGTGCATTATATGTGTTGTTATTTGTTTGTTGGGTTTTTTTTTGGGGGGGGGGGTTGTTTTTTTTTTGGGGGGGGGGGGGGAATTTTTTTCATGGCCCTGTAAAATTTTAAATCTCATATTAAAATATCTGATTGTCACGAAAAAAACATTTCAGTTTCAAAGTGTTCTAATGTCATTTGCCATTATCTTATTTAGTAAATAAGTATAAAATTAAGAAAGTCAAAGAGCAGACAGACTACGAACAATATTGGACTATTAATAGAACGGTTAGAACACCTCCCCATTGTACCGGCTAGATTTATGACATAGGTATGACATGCTATTACATATATATACTATAATTGTGCACATTCTTGGCATTATGCTCGAATGGTACCTTATCGTGTTATTACATCGCCAAGCTAGATGAGTTTTGTGTGTAGAAGAAAGGGTATTTTATTATACAACCGCTTGATCTTAGCTTGTTTTGGCTTCAACACTTCTTAGAATAAACCAAGCAAATGGATTCTACTTATAAAACAAGTGATGTTTATACTATCTATCTTGTCTCTGCCGTTCTGGTTGTTCATCCCCTTTTATTTTTGACCAGGCCAGACGCTGTGCATGTTATACAGATAAATATACCAAACAAACTGTATGACTCCACTAATGACGGCAGATTTTAATCCGATGTATCGAATAAGTCGAGTATTAGCTGATAGTCGACGATGTTCAGCTAATTATTGATCGAGAAGTCGACTACACGCATTATACGAAATTGCTGATCGGGTTAAAAATATTTTTTGTATGAGCCAAATCTTCATATTGCAGGTCCAAATATTCTATAAATTATTAATTAGACATTTATTCACATGACAAGCCTATAATCAACTATCGGGTGACATATATCAATTGGATTAGACAACCCGATTCATTTAATCCGTTGGCTTTAGTGGAGTTTGCATAGAAAACTTTGTTATAGAATTTAAAAAAAAAACACAACCCAGCAGATTCGGTGATTTATATCGTAAGCGGTCGTATCAATATATCGTAAGCGGTCGTATCAATATATCGTAAGCGGTCGTATTAATATAAGGTAAGCGGTCGTATCAATATATCGTAAGCGGTCGTATATCAATATGTTTAACGCGGGTTATTTGACTCCAAACTATAACGTTTACACTTATCGAAAACATTTAGGTTTGTACATCAGCATCACCCTTTCTTCAGTGCACAATGCATACAAAGTTATCAAAAACTATAAATTCACACTTTATGGCTTGGTTTGACCATTATCCCACTTATAGAGTCAATCAAATTCGTATATGTTTGGACTGATGTTCTTTTTGTAGTTCGCAAAGAATTAAAAATCCCTCAATTCACGATCAAAACCTTTAAAAGGTACTAAAACTGGTTCATTTCAAATAATCGTAAGTTTTGCTACAACAAGACGTTGAAGAGCTCACGTGTGACAATAAGAGAGGCTATCATTTGATAGTCCCATGGAAAATGACAGACGTGATACGATGGACTATTATTCACATTTAACGTGGCGTTTAATTGACAATATTGAGTTAATCTGTGGATCGCCATATTCTATGTATCAATCTGTCAAGTGGCGTTAATCGGTAAACTTGAAAAAAAAAAAAAATAATAATAACTTTGTCACAGTTTGTAAACATCTCCATTGAAATTAGTTCAACCGTCGTGGGAAATAGATATATGGTTTACTAGCCGCGTAATGGAGTAGAATTGTGTGTAAACGTCGTCGTATATTTCATGCGACTGTTTATAAGATGTAGGAGGCACATTTCTGAGAAATATGAAAATAGTCTGTCGTTAGTTTATAATGAGAAACTGAGATGAACACCTCGCAGCAAATATTCCGACATTATTTATAAACACGAGGTTACTGGTTCATCTTATTGAGGGGGATATTTTCTTGTCCTACTTAACAACCTGATTATCTAAAGAAATGTAAAAAAAAATTGAAGAAAGGTGACGCCGATGATAAACATGTACCAATATTAGAAATATTTAAACATATGATTAGTTGTAGGTAAAAGCCAGCAAATTCACCAATCATAAGGTGGCGTTACAATCTGTGTAATATCCATCAATATACACAAAACAAAACAAATAAATATTCAAAATACCAAACATGATTAATAGGAGACAAATACTAGCGTTAATGTAGAATTATTACTGAAACATATCCAAAGATAGGTTGCCAGGCAACGAAACATACGCCCACAGCAGCTATATCGTCCGGGCAGTCAACAAGAGTTGTCACATATTTTTACTTTTTTCGGTAATGAAACATTTATAATACATTAAAATCTGATTAAGAGTAACAACTTATTAAGTAATTATCAGAAAACCATTAGAATTTGTTTGGTTTTTATAAAGTTCTGCCCCATCCTAACGTTTAGTATACAAAACTTTTAACATCATGGATTAAGCTGTTCAAGTCATAAAGATTCTTGATAATCAATATACTTGTTCTTCTCAAGATCTTAAACACTGTGTATAAATTTAAAGTCAATCGATATTAACTTTGGCCTCTAGAGCGTCCACAAGATTTTTCAAAGTGATCAAAGGCCATAACTCTGGCAAAAATTATCGGAAATCGCTGATTATCACTAGGCTTCTTCGTCTCATGGTCTTCAACACTGTATATAAATTTAAAGTCAATCGGATATTAACTTTAGGCTCTAGAGCGTCCACTAGAATTTTCAAAGTGATCAAGGGCCATAACTCTGGCAGTAATTATCGGAAATCGCTGAAAATCAATAGGCTTCTTTGTCTCATGAACTTAAACACTGTGTATACATTTAAAGTCAATCAGATATTAAATTTAGCCTCTAGAGCATCCACAAGATTTTTCAAAGTGATCAAGGGCCATAACTCTGGAAGTACTTATCGAAAATCGTTGAAAATCATTAGGATTTTTCGTCTCATGACCTTATACACTGTGTATAAATTTAAAGTCAATCGGATATTAACTTTGACCTCTAGAGCGTCCACAAGATTTTTTGAAGTGATCAAGGGCCATAACTCTGACGGACAGTAATTATCGAAAATCGCTGAAAATCAATAGGCTTCTTCGTCTCATGACCCTAAACACTGTGTATAAATGTAAAGTCAATCGGATATTAACTTTAGCCTATAGAGCGTCCACAAGCAATTGTGGACGCCGGACCGACGGACGGACGGACGGGGGCGACAACAATATACGACCACATTTCAATGTGGGCGTATAAAAACAGATCATGACTAATTAAATACTTATATCATTTGCAGATACATGTACCCTAGACACGCAACAATGAGCGGCATTTTACATTGGTTTTAGAGTTTCCCAATTACGTTTAATATATCAATAAAAATATTGGACTAGAAAGGACGCTTAAACGTAACGTAAAGTTTCCAAATCAATGTCTGAATATTTCCAAACATTAAATAGTGGAGATCCATTCATGCCTTATTTTGGGTTTTTTTTAAGTAGATAACTAAATAAAGTAGTTTTTAAACTGTGTAAGCAAATATAACGGAGCTGACAATATTAATGTGACAAAGCTTGACAGCACCATATGGGATCAGTTTCAATTCACATTTACTTTGCCTCTTCACTAATCAATTGTCCATTTAAGATAAGAATAGTTAAGACGCCTGGCAAGCTAGTCTGCTGATCAAACTAATGACAAACCTTGTTTAACTAGTGTCAAATATCGCGGCTTTTGTCTCTGACTGAAGTCCCGAGTCATTTCTTATCCTGAGCCGTGAATTGATCACACCCACACGCATGCTGTCGTCAAATCCAGGCGCTTTAGCCCGAGTGAGGACACCGCGGTAGAGCCGGGCAAAGGGTGACGACAACCATATCCCCCTAGCATCCACTCTACCCTGCTGGGTCAAACCAGTGAAGAACCACACGCAACTGGTCAATCAATGGTAAAGAATATTTTACGCTTGTCCACAACAGCTAAATCGTCCGTACATTCAGCACAGGTTTTCGAATCGTGATTCTTCTATAGGTAATATGTGACCAGAGTAATCCAAGAGCGCTAGCCCAGAAAGTAAAATATAATGAAATAAGCGCGGGGTATACATTTCAACTATACTGGAACACGCCCATAGTCGGACGTAAATATACAAGCGAGAGAATGACGGAAATATACGACCCGGGGCAATATAGGACTATATATCAACCTATCTGGCCGGGGATTCTTCGATTAATATTGAAATAAATGTAGAAAGGTCATTGACAGTGTCACGCAGACTTTCAAGCTGACAAAATGATCAGTATTTACATCTTCTTTTACGTGAACGTCAATGTCTACACGGGGCCTCCGTTTTTTACGTCCCATCAGAACGACTATACGCTGTCCCTTACAAGGCCCTTCGTCCTACATCACTGACAAGGAGAAGCCACGTCGGAAAATCCAGATGAACTTTCTCGGCCAACACCTGGATCGAACACGGGATCTCCAGGTTGGCGAGCCAACATCTTACTCACTGAACCACCGCGGCTCCGTATGCACCTAATGACCCAATTCAACATGCGGTTTTTCTACAGCAACTGTTCGGCAGTTTTGAAAACCAGGTAACAGTACAAGTTGTTAAAGCCGAAGTATTAGATGTATTTATAAAAGACTCGCATCGTCTCCAAACAGACTCGACAAAATGACTTTTTATTAACCCAGTCGCGGATTAAAAGTATTAAGTGACCAATATTTACCATGAGAAGAATTAGCACAGTGGTGTACAGCCGTCAAGTAAAGATGTAGTAGAATGTTAAATCTTCAAGTCTGATCAAACATCGTCCATCTTCCACCACACACCTCACGTTTCTTGTTTAAAAATACTATCATGCCGTCTAAATTTTACCCTACCTTCTTGGAGCAGTGTCCAACCTCGTGGGTTTTCTCCGGGTCCTCCTGTTTCCTCCCACCGCTAAAGACCCCTACGCGCAAGCGAATTATTGAAATAAAATTAAACCATATGTTAGTCCCAAAATGACCTAGTTTGTGTCGAGTGGACGTTAAACCCCATTTCTCTCTCTCTCTCTTTGGAGCAGAGAAATAGGACGTAAAACCCCATTCTAAATTTATGTATCATTGCTATCGATATAGTGAATCGGCATAGGTACGCTTATTATTACTACAGAAATCATCCATGATTCGGGTTTTCGTACTTTGACCACGTAGTTAAGGTATCACGCGTTGAACGTCAAGATAGAGAGAGAGAGAGAGAAATGGGGTTTAACGTCCACTCGGCACAAACTAGGTCATTTTGGGACTAACATATGGTTCAATTTTATTTCAATAATTCGCTTGCGCGTAGGGGTCTTTAGCAGTGGGAGGAAACCGGAGGACCCGGAGAAAACCCACGAGGTTGGACAGGCGACCCTACTCCTTGTCACGTACAACCGGGGAATCGAAACCACGCCAGTTGACTCAATGACAGACTTTATGATACAGCGCGCACGTGCTAACCATTCAGCCATCCAACCCCCCAGTCAAGATAGAAAAACGCAAAATATTGGCATTACTTCGCTGCACTCTGCCCAATATTATTCTTGTTACTTGAAAGACAAACTGATTTAAACATCTGGATTTAAAATAGTTAACATTATCTCTAACTAGCAGGATACCCGGCTTCCCTCGGGGGTCATAACTCCGAAACCGGAAGTGGTAGACTAACGCCACCTGGCCAATGTTACTCCCCGGTCCGAGCTACCCCTATACCCCAAATTTCAGACTCGGGGCAGACCTAGTGTAGCCGCCAACCTCGAACAGACAGACTTCGCTCGGGGGGTCATAACTCCGAAACCGGAAGTGGTAGACTAACGCCACCTGGCCTATGTTACTCCCCTGTCCGAGCTACCCCTATACCCCAAATTTCAGACTCGGGGCAGACCTAGTGTAGCCGCCAACCTCGAACAGACAGACTTCGCTCGGGGGTCATAACTCCGAAACCGAAAGTGGTAGACTAACACCACCTTGCCTATGTTACTCCCCGGTCCGAGCTACCCCTATACCCCAAATTTCAGACTCGGGGCAGGTGTAGCCGCCAAGCCCGAACAGACAGACTTCTCTCGGGGGTCACAACTCCGAAACCGGAAGTGGTAGACTAACGCCACCTGACCTATGCTACTCCCCCGTCTGAGCTACCCCTATTCCCCAAATTTCAGACTCGGGGCAGACCTAGTGTAGCCGCCAACCCCGAACAGACCGGCTTCGCTCGGCGGTCATAACTCCGAAACCGGAAGTGGTAGAATAACGCCACCTGGCCTATGTTACTCCCCCAAATTTCAGACTCGGGGCAGACCTAGTATAGCCGCCAACCCCGAACAGACAGACAGACAGACAGACAAACGACAGTCACAAATATATATATATAGATTAGTTCACATGAAGACAGATATAAAATCATTGACCCATTCTTAAGATTCTATAACTGTTATTCGGCGCAATAATCGAAACAAAGAGCATACATAGATCAGTCCAGGGTTCACATAAGTCCTTTTTCTATAAAGCAGAGAAAATAGGTTGCCAGGCAACGAAACATACCCCCACAGCAGCTAAATCGTCCGAACAGTCAACCAGAGTTGTCGTATATTTTTACTTTTGTTGGTAATGAAACATTTATAATACACTACAGTAACAACTCATTAAGTAGTTATCAGAAAATCATTAGAATTTGTTTGGCCCATGCTAACGTTTAACAATCATTGAAAATCAATATACTTGTTCGTTTCAAGACCTTAAACTCCGCCAATCAAAACGATTATATATGGGCGTAAACACAGTGTATAAATATAAAATCAATCAGATGATAACTGTCGTCTCTAAAGCAATAAACAACATTTTTCAAATTGATCAAACGCCATAACTCTTCGGGCAGTAATTATCGGAAATCGATGAAAATCAACAGGCTTCTTTGTCTCATGACCTTAAACACTGTGTATAAATTGAAAGTCGATCGGATATTAACTTTGTCTTTAGTCTCTAGAGCGTCCACAAGTAATTGTGGACGCCGGACCAACGGACGTCGGGGACGACAATATACGGACACATTTCAAGGTGGGCCTATAAAAACTAATACCGAATACAAGGAAGTAATCGGGGAAAAATAGGAAAATTTATATTATTTCGATTAACTATTAAATCAGAGCAATCTGATGAAAACATAGATCTAGATTTCATTCCGTTTTTCATATTTTTGCTGGTCACCACTACCGGTACACAAGGGCAATTTTATCTTCAAAAATTCAAAATGAATTGCGATTTCTGTACACATACAATTAAGTCTTATTCATTTAACCATATACGGTCCTTGATTGAACAACTTCTTTCACTTTCAACAGTTGGCTATTTATCCACTCATTTTCCCTAGTAGTTGGCCGGAGGATGACTTTTGTCATTCGCGTATTCACAGTGTTCAACAAAGTCAAACAAGAGCCATAACTTTAAACGCAATTGCTGAAATTGCTGAAATTCAGCAGACTTCTTCGTTTCACTAACTCAAATGGTGCATATAAATTCCATACAGATTGGATGATAACTTTTGTCGTTAGAGCATTCACAGTGTTCAACAAAGAGCAACAGGGGCCATAACTCTAGATGCTATCGACGGTATTTGCTGAAATTCAATAGACTTCTTCGTTTCACTAATTTAAATAATGCATATCAATTTAATACAGATTGGGTAATAACTGTTGTCGTTAGAGCGTTCACAAGGTTCAATATCATAGGCTTCTTCACCTCATGAATGTAAGCAACATAATATATCAATTTCAAAACAATCAGATGATAAATGTAGTCTGTAGAGTGTTTACAAGAAAGTGTGGAGGATGGCGACTGCAATATACGATCAGATTTCCATATGTGCGTATAAAACGGAACAATAGAACACTGCATGCATTACTTTGAGAATTAAAAGAAGCTTTGAACGGATTTAATATGTCTATACAACAGATGTATAAAGGCGAGAAAGCAGGTGGTATTTCAATAAATAATATCTCTCAGTAATTGGCATTATACACTTGTATATTTGTATAATTTAAATGTGTATAATATGTGTTATTTAAGGCGTGTTATACGAATTATATTAAGTAATAAAGATTATGTGCATGTTATCAGTAAACTGTCAACGTATCTATGGATACCCTACATAGCTGCCATCTTTTAATCAGTATAAATGGAGAACACGGTTGGAAACCTGCTGCAGACCACCACCCTACCTTGTAAAACTTTATCTAAATTATCGTCATTTAAATGTCAAGATTTATGTAGTTTTTTGATCAAGTAGTGTATTTATTTATTAACCTATATTATAACCAGATAATTACCTTAATGCCTACTCGGCTATTGTGTTGATCCACTTTAGCACGTACATCCTTTCCCGATTTTCGCGCTCGTTTCAAAAATTTTCGAGTAAATTTTAATCCAAATCTAAGATTATCACCACAGCCACCCCACAACCACGCCTTGCGATTTTCTAAGTGTTTTGATTCATCACATGTACATCTGTCCAACACACCACGACTACATGCACGGGCAAATGCATGAACAAGCCCTGCTGACGATAATGCGTACAGGAATGACGTTTCTGAGAAACCTGAAACGAAAAAAAAAAAAACCCAAAGAATCAAAATAATGGTCCGATACATATTTCATTAAAGGAGGTAAATCTCTAATATTTGGGACCTGGAGATTGATACAAATGGGTCGCAACGCATATAATAATGTAATATAAATGTATATAAAATGATTTACATTCAATCGTTTCTGTTTTTACTCTAATTGCAAATCAGTTATGTTCGCAGAAATATGCCAGAAGTCTCAATCGAATGTCAATCTCCAGCGTCTGGTTATTCCAGTTTACACCGATAGTATTTATTACGCATGCTCTCCAGATAAGAATATGAATTGTGGAATATGTCTAGCCTCGTTCTTCGGGTCCCTTGTTACAAATGGCGCTGAAACTCATTATGGTACACGGTTCGAGTACCATAGGTAAAAAGTTTATTTTGCCTTAAATATTAGATATCAGAAGCTTATTTTTTCCCGGTAAGAAGACAACATCAATGTTGATTTAAATTGACAAATAACCTGCGTTTTCAAAGTTGAAGACTTTGGATGATATTGAGTTAGAGACTTGGCTACTTTAAAAGCTAATTTAAAGTCATCATTGATAAGACTGTCCCATTTCCCAAGGTACACTGTGTCGAAAACTAATGTTTTAATAATAGCCCGCTCTTCTAAATTGTCTTATGTTTATGCTAGAAAAATGTAGTTTTAGGGCTTGAATTATGAATTTTCAAAGTGTTCAAGTTTTGTGTAATGTGGGTGTAATTAGTTCACAATATTTCACAATATATGAAAGTTTTAAGAAAATTGAAATGAGAATTGTACTAGCTGGTAATACAGAATACCTCTATTATACGTGCCCTGCGTATCTGGCTTACGTTCATAGCCACATTTGGCCTGTCAGTGATTTCATCTATTTTTTGTTGGGTTTTGGGGGGTTTTTTTTGGTTGTTTTGGGGTTTTTTTTTAAATCAGGTAAGACTTAAAACAATTTCTTTTTTATATTATGAGACTATACGAATGGCTGTGAGACTTATTAAATCTGTCTACGTCATATCATTCATGGTCTGCACTAAATGGTCTTTACGTCTTCTAGGAGGCTGAATATCAAATTTTAACATACTTATAAAACTATATTAACAGTTAAAATAAACAAGTTGGCTAATGTCAAAGTAATTGTTTGTAAGAATTTGGCATCCATCTTTGTTATACAAATGGTACATATATTATATAAAACAAGTCAGTGAGTGCATAGGTTCATTGTAGATGTTTCTGTGAAATTCATTAGGAACTGGTATACGAACTGGCATGATTGGTGGTTGTTATGATGATGTTATCACTGTTTAAAGCTGTATATCAAATACAAATATTTCCTTGTCTTAAGAATTGTACAACTGACATTTAATAGCCATTATTCAGGCGTCATATGTATACTAGTTTAGATTTTAACTGAACTGAAAGGACGGGATGATTGAAGACTTACATCTGTGATTGCAGGTTTCAGTCCAGCTAGATCACGTAAACCTCTGTTGTATTATCCTCATTACCACCCCCGCACACATCACTCTTGGAATGGCGAATATCAGGTATGCTATCTAACCATCAAACATTGACATTAACACAAAAAAAACACGAATCCTATGGAATAATATGGTTATCTTATAGCTTGCACTGACCTCTTTCCGAAAATGAAGATAACAGACCGGCTTAATGATACATTATTTGGATTTGAATTTTATTGTAATTTTGGCCAATAGTCAATGCCATGAACATATATACAGCTTGTTTCTATGTGTACACGTACCTTAACGAAATGACTGATTTGAAGTTGTACAGACTAACACTAATCAGTGCTAAATAAACAGTTCAACCTTTGATGTAACTATAAGAATTATAATAGTTTTATTTACATCCATCCATAACATTATCCTCCCATTACCACAACATTTTAAAATAATTCTCTCCTCTCCCAAACAGTTTCCACATATCAATTCATATACGCTCATTTTAGAATGAACTGGTTTGAAATGATCTGATGATGTAGATAACTTTATCATTCAGAATGTCAAGGTTTGATGTAGATAACTTTATCATTCAGAATGTAATAGTTTGTAAGGATCGGGTGAGAACTTGACAAATATATAATTTTCTTGTTGAAATTAAAACGTTTGCTTTTGAAACACATTGAAGGCGTCATGGTTGACCCCACAACAAAGGGGAGGGTGGGGGTATGACTTCTTTTATACACAAATACAAAGCTCATCGAAGATGTCCAAGACTAAAGGTAATAAAATAAAACTAGACCAATGACTAGCAGGCAATGACACATACCCCCACAAGAGCTTAGATATCTGATCAATCCACATAGGTTGTCGCATTGTGAATGGTGTTCTATTGCAATTTATACATATAAATATCAAGTATATGGGATAATAACTTTAGTTGTTAGAGCGTCTAGAAATTGAGTAAGGGCAGTAACACTAAAAGTAATTAGATTATTTACTACCTATATATATGTAGATTGTGTATACATTATAGGGATTTCTTTCACATGTGCACTCATACAGAATGTTGTAGTGGTAGTTAAACAATCTAAACGATTTATCCATATTTAAATTTTCTTAGCTTTATTATTTACCACTATGCGTTGTTCCCGTATAGCACTAAATCACTCCTGTGTCTATTTCAACCAACGGGTGGTAAATAAAGAAAATAAAAAGATCTGTTTCCATTGATAGAAAGAAGATTGTCTCGTCGACGTAATAATTATTTCTCCGTGTAGAAATTTTGGATGATTCAAAAGTATGAAATGGTATCTAAAGAACTACAATTTAACAACGCGGTAACCCACAAAATCAACTCAAATCAGGAAGCGGGATTATAAACTGTGTGTTTTCAGGTAAACTGTAGAACAAAGGGCGTTCGACTATAATGTGTTTCCCACAGGAAAGGAAATGTTACCCAGTCCTTCGTGCATAAAATAGACGGGAGACAGGACTTGTTTGAAAAGCACACCCGTTACAAGGTGTAGCCTGTAAGTCCGGACCGGCAGGTCATGGAACGCTGAATATCGACAGGGTTCTTCCTCCCATGATCCGGTGCTATGTCTGCTAAAATCGATTCAAACATACGTTTTAAGTTCCAGTACAATCGGATAAAAATTGTGACCTCTGCAGTGTCCACAAGCAAATGTGAACGTACGCACAGACGGTCAGGGGTGGCGGCATAATACGTCCACATAATAAAGCCCATATTGTCCCGGCCCTACCCCCCTACATGAGACATCCTTCCTAAGGGCACCTTTTCTCCCTATTTCCCATGAAGTCTACGTTTTTGCCTTTGTATATTGTCATAAAAACAAATGTACGTAAAAGATCCCATGGAAAAAATCTTCTCCTCAGCATTACATATAGCAAACACTGAGCGAATGTTAGATAATTTATATGCTTACTTAGCTTGTACATTTTGTAAAGCAGTATAGATCCAAGGTTGAAACACTGCAATATTTTAATTCCAGATGTTACATGGCACTGAAAACGTAACAATCCATCAAGTAACTCCCGACAAAAGGAATCAAAAACCATTTATCGGAAATAGTTGAAAATTAATATAGTTTTTTGACTTACCATCAGATACTGTTTATAAGTGGTAAAGGGTTATAACTCATACACTAATTATCGGATATTGTTTATAAGTGGTAAAGGGTTATAACTCATACACTAATTATCGGATATTGTTTATAAGTGGTAAAGGGTTATAACTCATAGGATCTTGATGGAAATAAATACTGCGTATACATTTCAAGTCTGTCGGATGACAGAGCGTCCACGAGGAATCAATAATGTGACATCGGAATGAAATAATAAAAAAAACATTGAATGGAAAGAATACCACCGCCTTTAGATTCATATTATGGTGCTCGAAAACAACTGACATATTAATTTTGCTAGTCTACTTATTTAATAATACATTGGTCGTGATTAAAACTACCGAACCATCGGATAATTCAAGATTATAATTATTTTATTACATCACTCCAGTGAATGCGATATATTTCATCATTTTATCATATCACTGAACAAGGAAAAACCAGATCCATTTAAGCTAAATATAACTGGTGGACGTCTTTATCATTATGTTGACAAACACGGTTAAAGAATTTAGCCTTGTGAATTCAGGAACAACTAGTACAAGAACAATTTATTGCCAGTAATTTTTCATGTGCTAACTACAAGATAATGTTTGTCAGTCAGATTTACCCAAATGGGAAATGTCATAAAAAGTGAGGAGTCCTTTCAAGAAAGGGTGAAATATTATTTTTGTTAAACCAGACAGAAACATCATAAATCAGCCGAAGGTCCACGCGCATTACATGACACCATTCTATTACTGCAAGTTAACCACGAGCGTTTCAACAGATGTAGGTTATCGTCGTAGTCGAACCCAGAAATTGTGTGGTCCGTATTTGTCATCACCCGCGATGAGTGTGGGTGGGTGTATGTGGGAGAGCTAAGGGGGGGGGGGGGGCATTGAAGCTAAAAGATTGATCTTTAAAAAGCCGATGGGTTCATGATGTGTGGGGGTTACTGAACCCCTATCTTGCTAGGGTAAAATAGTCAATTACTTGTGATGAATGGCAGTTTTTATCTATGGTTCAGGTTCAATGTTCCATCACATTTTAAAATTACCTTATTGGTTTTCTAACGAAACAAATATTATTTTCTACACTAGTTTTACGAGTATCTGAGTGTTGGCAGGGATGTTTTGTTGTTGGTTAAGTGCTTGTTCACACAACATTTATCAGATTTAGTGTGGAGGACTGACCTGTATGTCTGACTAGGGTTAATTACTTTAATGTACAATAAGAGTTATGATTCCACGCCTGAGTGAAAAGTTAACTTACAAGTTTTGTGTCAAACGGACAGTCGACCAGGATCTAAGATGAATTCAGGATTCTTTATATTCACCCATGTCACGCCTATTCGAGCCTAAAGTGCACGATAAATACACTAGACGAAATATAGTATAATCAAAATATATATTAAATAGGCGACGTCCCCTGGGATATTTTCTGGAATTGAAAACAATTATTGCACAAAACGTAAAGAATTGATAGAGATCATCGAATACAGAATATGAGTTTTTGTTTCCTTTTGTTTTTTTTTTACAATGTTGTATTCGTCAGTTCTAGCAAGCTAAATGTTTAACTCGTCGTGTGAAACCGATGTTTGCAAACATTAAAACGCTTTAATTTATGGATTGCATAGTATCTGTCACTGTCACATTGAGCCAGACACTAATAACGACTATCAACTGGGATATCGTTAACAATTCTTTAACACACCGTGTCCTGTCCACATTTCCCGGTTACTTTAACACAATAATCTGGCTAACTTATCATGTCTTGTCTTATTCCAATTTCTTTCTATTTCCACAGCTCTATACACTGAATGTTGTTAATACCCTAAAATACGCTATTACATTGTATTGTTAAACCGAATGTCTGATTCATTCAGTAACATCGATCGTAAAGGGTATAAAATTTAAATGTTAAAATTTGCTCGACTTTCTTTTATTAGAACGAATGATGAAAGATATCCGGGTACATTGATATGTTACCCATCACCAAGAAACTCCCAACAAGCGCTTCAATTAGTTAAATGCAGAGATAAATGTTATGCACTTTGTAAGACGTGTATACTACATGTATTTAATAAGATTTGTGGCGTGTCACGTGCACCTTCGGAAAGTTAAAACAAGATGTCACCAAACTTATTCAATACTCAAATTTATTTAGAGCGCGCAATAATTACCTGATGATATTTAGTTTGCGCTCACCCCGACCCCGACCACGACCCCGCCACTCTACCTCTTGTACCTGACCATTCCGATTTATTAGTATATATAAACGAGTATATAGATGGTTTGATTGATGTTTGGTGATAAGGAGAAATTAATATAGATAAATACGAACAAGACGACATAAAACATCTAATATACGTTTACAGGTATGTTAGTATTGGACCCATAAATTACAGGCCTACTTAGATGAGATTAAGTTATTTTGTCCACCTAATCTCAATACACGTTAACTTATAAACAAAGGAGAGTAGTTAAACAGGTTGAATATTACCAAGCCAGACTCAAGTTGTCTATATAAGAGGATAGGTTAGACCTTTATTTATCACTTGAACGTAATTAGTTTTTTAATCTTTCAAGTACTTCATTACACATTATCAAAAACGGAAGCGGTGCAATTCACTAATCATTTCTTTAGGATTCTTTGTTGTAACTTTTTTTTATTTGTGTGCACCCATTTACGGCATGAGGATAGATAAATCCCACGATTTTACGGCATGAGGATAGATAATGATGATGATGATGATGATGATTAATTTATTAATCATATGAATTATATTACAAAATTAAAAGCTTATGCTGAAGGTAAACTTGTTTGAATGTAATAAGGGGCCACAGTTGACTCGCTAGCCGAGGTCCTGTGTACACATTGGCGTGAACGTAAAAGATCCCTTGGCAGTTGGAATTCGATATAAGAGTAGACCGTAGCGAAGCGGTCCGGGCAAAATTTCCCTCATAGCACACTGTATGGTGTGGGTCCGTCCTCACTCGCCCGGTCGGAGCAGAACAGTAGGACGTTCATTTCTTTGTTAATAGTATACTCTGCTTTTATTAAATATAGCAACGGGTTTTGTAATTTCATGAAAATAAATTTGGACTGGTGATAGGTTTGATGCAAACTACGACGACGACGACGACGATGATGATGGCTATGGTGATTAAAAGTATAGTCTCGGTTGTTATTGGTACCGTTGTAACATTAATAACAATTCTCGACTATCCATTTTTTAAATTAAATCATTAATTGGCAACCGTGTTTAAATCCGTTAAATGTCCAAAGTTCTTGCGAGTTGATTACAAGCTTGACATGTTAATAAATGTCTAAATGTCCAAAGTTCTTGCGAGTTGATTACAGGCTTGACATGTTAATAAATGTCTAATTAATAATTTATAGAATATTTGCCAAGGCTAAAGAAAGATCTGAAATAGACACATTTAGCTCTTACATAATGCATGTTTAAGGTGTAATTACGGTTATTTATTTTGAATAACGGTGTTATCTTCCCAATTATCACAATACTGTCAATGTATAATTACCTTTCTTGAGTATATTTTGTCTATATTGTCCCAATAATGGACAATTCCATCGTTCATGCTTGAATTGGAATTGACATTCTATCACAGCTAGTCTACTGGCTTCTACAAGGCTATCTGCTATTCCTTTCCCTCTTCTGCACATTCTTTTCTGTTTCCTGTGTAATTTTAACATCTCACAAAGTTTGGCTGATGAGTAGCGATCACGATTATTGAGACCGTCTTGATATCCCAGGGTTAGGGAAATAAGGGGTTCCCTTGACGTCAACCTGCAAGTATAATATTAAATAAATGTTTTCAATCAAATGCAATAATTATATACACTTAATTTCTCAAATATGGTCCCTGGGATAGATAAACAGGGCTGGATTAGCTTAGGGCATCATGGAGAAGCCTAGTGGAAACGTCACTCAGTAATCAGCAGTAATTGTGCCCTGTATATTCCAGTTCATTAGCTAAATGACATCGAAACAATTAGTTTTCCATTGTTTGTCTTTTCTTACTGTTTCAATTATAATGGCGTGTATAAAACCTCAGAAATCGATAACCACGTGTTCAACGGATTGTTTCGGGTTTTTTATTCTTTACATTTTGAATTGTATACTATATGAGGGCACCAAAATCTTCTAAGTGTTTAGGGTTTCTATAGGTCTTATTCCAACACTGTGGATTAAATAAAGGTTAACAAAAATTTATTTCCTTGCAAAAAAAATAAAAAAAAAACAAACAAAAAACCGCTGATAATTGATACATTGACTTTTCACATCTTTATTTAATTATGTTTTGTGAGGGTTATTGTGAGTGGGGGTGGGGATTGTTAGATACGTTATCAAAGGTATCAGGTGCACACGAGACTCGTGTGTTAAACAAACTATACATTAGACAACATTCATTACCAATGGTAATAGTTCACTGTTAAATTTCATAGTATTTAATTCGACAAGTTATATTGACGGGACCAAGAACTGGGGAAGTCAATAAAACATGTATTGGTGGTAAAGTACAGGCATGTATTCACCTATCAAAACCTTTTAATTTTAATAGTGTAATGGTTGTAGATGAAGTTTGTGGGTTAATATAAATGTAGTTCGCAGTGCTTCTGTCTTCATCCCTTATCATTTCTTATCAGTTATTTATAGAGATAGAAAATATATCCAAATATTTACTAAATGAAAGAATACCAGAGACATGGCTCATTTATTTCGACGAGACTAGCATCTGGTATATCCCTTTTATAATACTTCGCTTGCACATTCATTTTAACAGTGTGGGGGGGGGCGGAGAAAACCCTACTCCTTGCTATGTAGACGCCTGATATAAAACCTCAACTCTTGACATAATATCTTCTGAACTTTTGAAAAGCATACGCATAACATCACCTCACCAGCGAACGCCGGCATTAAACTTCAAACATTACTATTATTAATTGAATAATTCAGTTATGTGCATGGAACATTTGTGCCTGTCTCGAGGAGTGTGTTTTACGGCAGAGCAAGCCAGATCGTCAAACATTTTAAAAGTAAAATATAAATGTGCTATTAATTATTTTATTATCTAAGAAATATACAGAAGAAATTAATAAAACCAATATAAACATTCAATGTCCAAATGGCGAAATTTGAATAATTCGTGAAGTAAAATATATTGAAATTATAGCGTGTTTTTTGAAATAAGAATGAAGAAGTGAAATTAAACCTCGTTAGGTTTCTCTCATGTCAGTTACTTTTCTTTTAATTTATTTCAATATGAAAATATCGTACGAGATTTTCTATAAATGGGCGCAGTTTTCTGTATTGAAAGAAAGTGAAGACGAGTCCCGCGCGAAATTCTTTTATGGTGTAGTTTCCTTCCTCTAAAATGTATTTTGTTTGAATAAATATTATGTAAATTTGTCGACTATAATAACTTAATAGGTTAATCCAAAACTGAACATCTGCACGTGTAGTGTGAAAAACATTTTACTTATATATCACATGCTTCTAATTCTGGCAAAACTTTCTGTATTTAGAAACGATACAATTTCTCGTTGATATATTCAAATTATAAATAGCAACATTGAAAGATTGCCCCAGACATGATTTCAATATAAGAGTCAGATTGAATATTAAAAATGAATCTTGGCGCACATTATAAATTATAAACAAATTTTAGGGACATAAGACAGCCAGATAGACAGCAACACGTGCTTTATCTTACAATTATAGCAAGATCTGATCTACTCTAGGTTTGTATATTCAACGTATATCAAGTGAAATACTAATAATCATATTAGATAAGTGTTTGTAGTAAATAATTAGGTGAATATTGTATGGATGGGAGTTCTCATCCCAACTCCCTCAACATGTTATGCCAGTAAATATTTATTACGTTGATATCTTTAATAATATAACAAACATAATTAGTTTTAACCTTTTACAAATAATCACCAATCAAAAGTGTATAAAAGAAAATGAGAACTGATTTTGTTACCAACTCACTTGGAGTAGAATTTAGAAATAATGAAAAGTGTTATTAAATAGAACATTTAAAACTCCAACACACAATTACTAGCCTGGTTTACCACCATGTGTATAGTTAACCAATTTAACTAAAGCACTAACTCATTCCTGTACAGGATCACATAATATATATTTTTAAAAAAAAAAATAAAATCTATCTATTATAAACATTTATCGTACTTACCCGAAATATCCGAATACCATGGAAGCCGAGAGAATAATTAGATGTGAAATACAGATGCACTTTTCATACGATAACTTCATGGTGATTAGAAGGTAATACGCCTAACATGTCGCTCACATATTAATATTCTATACAGCATAATAATAATAATAAACCACACCAGAATATTCGACGCATGAGTTTTTTGTAAAATTGTAAACTGTCTGTTGTTGATGTATTATTATTCTAATCATTTGTGTTCTCGGTGAATTTGCGAGGCTTTGTACTCTATAAAAGAAAATCCGTTTTTCCGATTTAAACCATTTGTCACAAATACACCCTGAATGAATTTATATTTCCACATCGACCACACAACGTAATAAACTGACACCGTGTCCCTTTCAAATAAAATAATTTATATGTTGGATCCAATCGTACAAGGTATTTCAACTACGTTGGTAGTATTTTGTTAAGTGAGAGAGAGTTAAGACTGTCGCCACTAAAAGCACATCATATCATCTCAAGTAAAGGCATGTTGGATCTAGCGAGGTGGCTTCAAGGGGAGCTATACACGTCACGCGGACGCAGTTGGGATTTATCATCTCTCACGGGCAGTGATTCTTTTTTTTACCGCTTAGTGGTCACTTAGAACAGTTTTGCGAACACAATACCTGAACTTGACTGATATAGTTTAGTGATACGCGTCATCGTTTTGCTATAAACTAGTGTTACGTTCCAGGCGTGCACTTTGTAAAATCACAATTTTTACATTAAAAGTGTAAGAAACATCCAAATATATTTTTGCAGACCATGAAATAAATAGAATGAGATGTAAGATTTATAATTGTTTAAAAGTATGGTTCAATATAATTTATCGTCGACACCGTATCATTATATCCTTAGTTTTCAATGATAGTACCCACAAAAACATATATTCCTCATCACATATCGTCAATATAGTCTATATGTAACATATTCTGCCGCAGCACGGAACGATGAACCAAATCTTGTGTTTCACTGATCTTATTTTCACGACTGTACATTAAGAGTAAAATGTAATACTATGTATATTTATAGGAGAGTAAGCGTTATGTTAATATACTAAACATTGTACAGAACTTACATTGACAACACACTAAATACCATTATTACAGAAAGCTTTCATACTCAACATTTTATTAAACTGTTGGCGTGTCATGGGATAAACATTGGTGACTCGGGGTCACATGAGTGCGAGATTATTACAAAAGCACACCCTGCCCCGTGCAAGACATCCGCTATAGAGCCAAGATATGTCGTCATCAGTGTCAGGACGGAATATAAAACAGACAGTCAGACAATTCTGTATAATGACGTAAGAGCCACATGAATTGGGTCGTAATTTGATCAGCCATTTCAATTCATTCAAGGAGTTTATCTACAGTTGATAGTTTCCTTTCTTAATTAAACATTCATTAGACCTATGTTCAAACTTTACTATCTTCTCTAACATCTCTCTCTCTCTCTCTCTCTCTCTCTTCATTCTAAATTCCCATTGTTTATTAGGCTCATTTATAACCCAGTAAATCTTGATTGTTTTCGGAACACCATATGTCACTTACTGATTGGGGTGTAGGTATTACCAAACTCGGAATCCTGATCTTAGAGCCTATACAACGAGAAATATTTCTCAATATTCCTACTATTTATAGATATGGTTAATTTGGATTATTTCGGTCGATGGTATTTATAACTGTTATGATTGTTATAAAACTTGGATGGCCATCTCTTCACCATTAAACATATACTAACGTCCAAAAGAAAGTATACCCTGTGCATTTTGTGCTGCATCAACCAAAGTCGTTTTTCCATGGTAGACGGTATTTGTGTAGAATGTCAATTTGTTTCACATTTTTATTTTGCTTAGAAATGTTGAGTTTGGACGCAAGAGACAAACTCAGTAATGCTTTATCAAATGTTTTTAATCTAAACAAAACTTAGTCATACTTTTAGTGTGTATACTTTCTTTTGGACGTCAGTGTATATTCTTTTCAACCAAATTTTTCGGCCCACAAAAGTTATATTTAATTGAACCTAAGGGGAGCCACGGTGGCTCAGTGAGTAAGACGTTCGCCGAAGTTTTAATCTACTTAAAATTGGAGCCATCCTATGACCTAGAGAGTTGATTATGGGCTTGCCATGTTTAAATAATAGTTTATATAACATTAACAACCAAAATAAAGACGTACAATAGGCAGACTTAGCTTTTACGTAATGCATCTTTAATATTATACTAACATAATGCATCTTTAATATTATACTAAGCTTAACAAGTACGCGTTTATACGTTTTATCACTAGAGATCTGGCACATTTCTTTCAAGATCACCACTAAAAAAGTTTTTTGTTTCAGATTTGGACGATTAATTGGCAAGCCTACAGTTAAAACAATGTTGAACACTTTCACTGTTGAATGACATCGTTGAGGAAAAACATGCATGGCGAGTTGCTATAGTAGTACGATCTGTAATGTATTTAAACATTCTTTCATCAGAGAACAATGCTATTCATCCCTACATTGATTTTACTAGGTCTAAAACGTGGCATAGTTTATAATTTCGGCTTTCTGGTTTTATCCCTTCCAAAGGATTTGAAATAAAAAAAATAGTGATGTTATGTCTAATGAAATGTTTATTGTTACTTGTTTCAGAGTGTTGGTGATACTGATTCTTTGTGTACTGATTTCTGTGCATGATAAATTTAAATAAATTCATATTGTTAATGATAATAGTGATGACTTTGTGTGTCCATTCTTTCCTTCATTCGTAGTTTATCCCTTGATTAATAGATCGATTAATACGGCATTGACAGTGTATTATTAGTGTGTGATATGGTATAATATATAAACAGTGTATTGTTAGTGTGTGATATGGTATAATATATAAACATTGTATTGTTAGTGTGTAATGTGGTATAAATATATAAACAGTGTATTGTTAGTGTGTGATATGGTATAATATATAAACAGTGTATTGTTAGTGTGTGATATGGTATAATATATAAACAGCGTATTGTTAGTGTGTGATATGGTATAATATATAAACAGTGTATTGTTAGTGTGTGATATGGTATAATATATAAACAGTGTATTGTTAGTGTGTGATATGGTATAATATATAAACAGTGTATTGTTAGTGTGTGATATGGTATAATATATAAACAGTGTATTGTTAGTGTGTGATATGGTATAATATATAAACAGTGTATTGTTAGTGTGTGATATGGTATAATATATAAACAGTGTATTGTTAGTGTGTGATATGGTATAATATATAAACAGTGTATTATTAGTGTGTGATATGGTATAATATATAAACAGTGTATTATTAGTGTGTGATGTGGTATAATATATAAACAGTGTATTATTTTCGCCGGGGAAAAAATCAGTCTAATGCATATGTAATGGGGTCGTTTTAATGTCACCGGCGAAAAGGTACGCGAAAACGGGGAGTGTTCACTAGTCCGCAGTTCATTAGTCCACCGATATCTATTATTAGGGTTAGGTTTAAGAATTTGGGGGAGAGGTTAAGTCTCCACATAAGCACTGACCTAGGATGATGAAAAATTAGTTCGTGATATTTCCTAGTTTTATTAAAAATACATACAATACATTAGATTTATATACAAAGGCGATTTCATTGTTTTTTGGTGTTGGTGGCGCTGATGGTCTTCCTTTGATGGTGCTTCTGGTATTCTGGTATTATTGTTTCTGAAGAAAAAAGAAAATAAATTTGAGGCTCTCGGGAGAGAGCCACATTAGTGTGTTTCCTACTACGGATTGGATTTTCTAAAAAAAATCGTGTTTGTTCCACATCACCGGGTTATGGCTAGGGATTCTTATATCTAGTTGATTTTATTTACTAACGGTTAGGGATAGGATTTAATATATGGTTTGTTTTGGGTTAGGGTGGAGACTGGTCTTATTTAATCTAATTTACTGTGCACTAGGATGTCGTTCAGATTTTTATTTTTAGAATATGCAATTAAAAGTTTCTGTGTGAATATTTTTAGGGTGATTTTCTGGGAGATCAGTATAGTGTTTTCTGATGATTTTGGATGCACTTGCTGCTGTTGCGCTAAATGGAACTACAAAAGGAGCTATTGCGCTAGCCGTATGCATATTCAAACCTAGGGGGGCTGTTGTTTTCAATTTGTCAATCTAGAATTTTTCTCTTGTTAGCCTAAACGTTTTAATTTCTTCTGTAGTTTCAAAGTCGCTCTCGGTCTTTTCTATTGGCGTGACAATGAGATCAGAAATGTCATGATTTGATTGGTTGAAATGAATTCAGATCGGTTTGTCTTTTTTAGTGAGTATGTCTGATCGGTGACCGTTAATTCGTTCCCTAGGTGCATTTTGAGTCTCCCCAACGTATTGCTTGTCACATTGTCTGCAAGAAATTAGATAAATTATGTTTGAACTACTGCATGAAAGTTGGTCTTATATTGATATAGTCCGGTGGCTGAAGGGTGGGGGGGGGGAATCGCCACTCGAGCTATGAATTTATGAGACCAAGTTTTTCTAGACCAGTTTCTTGCGTAGATTCCGAATCTGGGTGGTGATCAGGCGTTTGAGGGGGCGTTTTCGAGATATAGGGGGTCAAATGTCTACAATGGGGGGGGGGGGGCATTATGTTGACGTAATATATTAATAAAACATAAATTTCTAAGACTGCCCATCTATAAATAAGTGTTTATGATGCTCCTGGACAACTGTTTTGATTTGTGGGGAGGTGGGGTGGGGACAGCAGGTAGGTGTGTGTGTGGTGGGGGGGGGGTCATTATGTTGACATAATATATTAATAAAACATAAATTTCTAGGGCTGCCCATTTTTAAATAAGTGTTTATGATGCCCCTGGACAGCTATTTTGATTTGTGTGGAGGTGGGATGGGGGTAGCAGGTGTGCGGGTATGGATGTGGTGAGTTCACGTTGATGATTTTCTTAGAGCTTGGTAAAAACATTATTTTTAATTCCACTGCACATCTCTAAATATGTGTATACGATTACCGTTGTATAGGGGAGGGTAAATGTATTTTGGGGGACAGAAACCACTTGGTTCAAAATTGACCTGAAAAGTGTTTTCTCGAGTTTTCGTTCAGTGCCAATATCGTCATTAAAAATATTAAATTATAATGGTACTTTTCGAAAGATCTGGAAATTTACATAAAAAACACATGTTTAGATATATGTTTATTCTTATAATATGTGCGGGATAGATATCCTCTTGATGGCTTTGGATATGCTTCAGATACCCATTCATCTTGTTCGATCATTAATTTTGCAACCTGTCTCCATATTGCTGCAACATAATTATTGCGTTTAATGTGCAGCAAAAAACTACTCGGGCAAGATGGTAATAAAGAAAGAAAATTTTGTTATTTTTCATCACAATTAAAATTTCTCCAGAAGATCTTTCTTCTAGTGTCATCTACAAACATTTTTTTCTAAACCAGCAATTACGTCATCAGAAGCATCATTTGTCTATCCC